CTGACCGAGCCTCGTCCCTGTCACCATCCTGGGTCAGTCCAGCTTGTTGTGAATGTTTTCTTACAAGGCACTTTCCACTGTTCATATATATTGGGGGCATCTCAGACATTTTTTAATGAATGCAACCATTTTACTATCACAATATGTGAAAGTTTAGGAGCCTAATATTTGACTCTGTGTGTCTGTGTGTTTTTGTGTGAGATTGATTGATTGATTGATTGATTGATTGATTGATGATTGATTGATTGATTGATTGATTTAGAGAAAATATATGACCACAGATTTCATATATATATTATAACTCTGTCCTCAATACCCAAGAGCAAGCAGAATAAGTCCATGGCATTTCATAAACATGTTTGCTCCAGCATTTCTACTAATAAAATTGCCATCTCTCCAGTTATCACAGACATGATGATTAAGTCACTAGGTCAGTCCTCCAATGGCTCTCAAGATGCTTCTGAAGGAACTATCAGGGACAAATCCCAGAACACATATATATTTGGAACCTGTTTGCCATTCATAACATAAATATATAGTTCTTGTGGATTTGGGGCTAATATTTTTAGACTGTTGGATCAACCAAAGCCTAGTCAATTCCACAGCGGACAGATTTTCCCAGATTTCTCTATGTGAAACTAGCTACATTACTCCACACATGTGAAATATACACTGATCACCATCTTGGAGTAATTCCACAAGACGATTGACATTCTGTTTCACAGAATTTCACAGCTGGTGCTCTTTTAAATTGCAAATTAAAAAAGGCCCTAATGATTAGGCAGTAGTCTCAAAGGGCAACTCTATCCTTTACACCTCAAGAATCCAGACATAAGTGAGGCTGAAGAAAATGGATCAGATCAATGAATGTGGCATGCAGTATTCTTAAGACAGATCTCAACAAAGGTAGCAGTTGTTTCACTATCTATAGTATCGTGTTCAAATCAAGACTGCTGGCAACAGCAATACAGGAGAAGCCAAATGAGCAGGAATGTTGGGTATTATTGCCTTATTACTATTTCCAGAACTATCCATGAAGGTACAACCTCTTAAGTGCACTGGAGATGAAGCTATTGAAATTCCACAGGAATGGCACCAGGACGGAGACCTTCTCATTGGTGCATTGATATCTCATCTTCACTACATGTTCCCCAAAGTTATTTTTGATAAACATCCTTCTGAGGAATTGCTTGACTTCCCATTGTAAGAAATTACTCTCTTATCTTATTTTAATCTAATCCTTCTCTGTTCTTTCCATCTTTGTAAAACAAAGAGGTTCCATCATCCTCTATTAATGAATATAAGTGTATGATAGACATATCCTTAACAGCAGCTTGGTAATTAGAAATTATCTGTTAATTCAACATCCAATTTTCTAATTAAACCAAAAGCCAATAGACCAGGACAAGCAGATATATTGTTGAGAACTTTTCCAACTTGAATGTAAAAGAACCAGCCCTAATTCACCATAACATAAAAGGCACTATAATACTTTAAATATGGACATTAACTGTGAAATAAAAAGTCATTTCCAAAACCTTGGGGTGGCACTAGTTATTAATATCGTGTCTCTATTTTTTTCATGTATTAATTAGATGTTAGTGGTCCACCGGTCCTATTTCAAAAGATTGTACAGGAATTATTTTCATTATAAAGATGAATATTTTAACAGAATAACAGAATCACATAGTTGGAATGGACATTGAAAGTCATCTAGTCCAGCTCCCTGCTCAGGCAGAAAGTCCTTTTTCTGCCATTATAGGACTAATGAAGGTTTTTAAAAGATCAAAACTTGCATGGAAAGTTTAACATGAATATAGTCTCTCCTTTTTAAGAGCAGGAAAAATGGGATTTCTTCCATAGATCTCTTCTACATGACAACTATTCACATACTTCGGGAATATTATCCTGTCTTCCTTCTCTAAAGTTTTTCATGGTTCCTCCAATAATTCCAAGAGAATGCATTACTTTTTATTCAACCATGTCGTTTAAAATTTCTGGGTATATAAGTTATCCATTGCAACCTTTCTGGGTTATCAATTTAAATATCTGTTAAAGGATACTATTAAAAAGGCACTTAATATAGGAGATGAACCTTGAATCATAAAACTATGAATTTCAGAATATTTTGTCAATGTGTGTTTCTTGTAATATTTTTGACATTGGTTATCTCTTTCTAACTATATAATGCATGGTGCAGTTCTCTTTTGAAACAAGTCACTTTTTTACAGTGTGATAACCAAGTTCTACCAACACGTCTTGGCTTTTGTGTTTGCCATGAAAGAGATCAACAAGGATCCTCACATCTTGCCCAACTTCACTCTTGGATTCCACATCTATGACAGCTACTCCAATGCACTAATGACCTATCGTACCACTCTGGACCTGCTTTTTAAGTTGCATAAAATTGTCCCCAACTATATTTGTGGGTCTGAAAAGAAAGTGATGGGAATCATTGGAGGGATGAGTCCTGAAACATCCATTCGCATGGCAGAAATTTTGCAGCTTTTCAAGATCCCACAGGTTGGACTCATAAATAAAGATCTCAAAATTACAACAATCACACAGATGGTCTGCTTTGGATTTCCCCTTCAAGAAGCAATTTGATGGTTTATCAGTAAAGAAATGTAAAGAAATTTGGATATAGAAAAGTAGAAATTAGGGTATTGTGTGGACTTAATCCAAGTTTCTCTTCCAGTAAGATGAATCGAAACATACAGAATTTTATGTATGCATAGTTGTTTGAACCTGGAGGCTTTTGCTAGCTGCTATTAACTGCCTTATTGATGTCAATTCATACATTTCAAGCATAATGTGCACAAACATTTGGATTTTATAAATGTGGAAGACAATGCGTGAAAAAAATATTCACCTAGGAAGAACTGAAACATTTCATTCTTTAAATTCAAATACTCAAGTTGTCTTCGAGAAAAAGACTTGAGATGATTATGATGATGATGATGATAGATAGATAGATAGACAGACAGACAGACAGACAGACAGACAGACAGACAGACAGACAAACATATAATATTCAGAAAGGATATCTCCCTTTTAGAGAGAGCTCTAAGACAAATCTATATATTAAACAACCATATTTTGAAAAATAAAGTGGTTGAAATCAATAAAAACAGAATATCTATCAATACTTTCTCTTTATCATTCTCTCTTTCTCTTATTTCTTCTTTGTTCCTTTTAGATTTCATATGGCTCATTTCAATTGGTAGCAACTGATGAATCACGTTTCCCTCCTTTTTATCGCATGGCCCCTGATGAAGCTCTCCAGTACAAGGGTTTAGTCCAACTTCTTCTGTATTTCAGGTGGAACTGGATAGGACTTGTCATTGTAGATGATAAACATGGAGAACATTTCATACAAACTCTGGAACCCATGCTCTCGGAAAATAAAATCTGCTCCGAATTCACTGAAAGGATTGACAGAAATTTACAATCTTCCAAAGGATTAGACCTGATTGAACGATGTGTGAGGCACATTACTTTGTTCACAGAGAAAACAGCAAATGCAGTTATTATACATGGAGAAAATACAGTCTTTATGTGGTTGGCCTCTATACTACAAAGCACCCAATTTTTTTTCCCAACGGTTTTTGATTCTTCACAGAAAATTTCCACGCAAAAAATATGGATCACAATGGCCCAAAATGATTTCACCTTACATACCTTCCAAAGGGAGCTTGATATGCAAATGTTCCATGGGGCCATTTCCTTCTCAATTAGCAAAAAGGAACTTCCAGGTTTCCAACAATATATACAGGCTGTCACCCCTTCTGGGGCAAATCAAGATGCATTTATTAGAGATTTCTGGACCCAAACATTTGGCTGCTCGCCATCAAATAAAGGTGTTTCTCAAGATGAGGAGTGTACTGGAGAGGAAAGACTGGAGAACCTTCTTGCACCCTTTTTTGAAACCAGCATACTTGGCCATAGTTACAGTATCTATAATGCTGTCTATGCTGTCGCTCAAGCATTACATTCTGCTCAAACAGAACATGTGAAGACTGATCAGAACATACCAAAGGACAGAGATCAAATGCAATCAAAGGTCATAGAAGCCTGGCAGGTAAGATTTCCTCTTTCTCAATGCTCTTTTGAAATGGTCTCCTCGGTTACAACAGAGTGCCAGGACTTAAAGAGTCAACCGATCATTTCAGGCCAGCTATTTAAAGATCACAGACATTCATCTTCCTTCGTGATTAATACATTACAAATATTGACACACTTCAGGTGGTTATTGTCTTTTGCTTACATATCTCAGCTTTTTCCTTCTTGCATACCAACAAAACTGATCTTTAACATACTTCTGCCTTTCTATTGTCTGCAATGTATGTTCTTCCCACAGCTACTTCTTGCTCTTTTTCAATTAACTTTCTCAATTGTCACTGAAGAAAATCAACATGTATCAAAAGAGATTTTAGTCTGTAAAGTGGACTGTGATCCAATATAAAAACGAGACTGTTTCAGTCGTCTCTACATCTGCATTCCAGGGGAAAAAAGATTCCAAACTTAAAAAGTGGTGTTGTTTGAGGCCATTTAAGGGTTATCTGTTTCCCTTTAACCCTTATACTTTTTGTTCTGCAAGCTCCATTCATTTCTGCAGACAACTTCCTTCAACAACAATGCTGGAGATGAAATTAAATTCAGTGAAGATGGAGCATTAGAAGCTGGGTTTGACATTGTAAATTTGGTTACTTTCCCAAACAACTCCTATATCAACATCCCAGTTGGAGAAATAGATCTGCAAGCTCCTCCTGAAGAATCCTTCCTTATTCATCAAGACAAAATCCAGTGGCATCATGGATTCACTCAGGTATGATAAAAATAGGATGAGGTCTGTGTGGGGGATGGGTGATTTAAAATTAGAGAGAGAGAGAGAGAGAGAGAGAGAGAGAGAGAGATGGATACCTAGGAGAGAGAGAGAGAGATACAAAAGAGACAGGCAGACAGATGGATGATAGAGATAGAAAAAGAGACAGATAGTTGGTAGATAGATGATAGATAGATAGATAGATAGATAGATAGATAGATAGATAGATAGATAGATAGATAGATAGATAGATAGATAGATAGATAGATAGATAGATAGATAGATAGACAGACAGACAGACACACAGACAGACAGGCAGACAGAGACAGGCAGACAGACAGACAGTCACTCTAGGCAGTTTATACATAGTTATACAATTTAAAAACAAGAAACAATATAAAGACACCAAAATAATTCAAAAGAACATAAATGGTTGAGAAAATACCTTGTATGGACAGAAGGAAAAGAAAGAAAGGGGCTATTGATCATCTTTGCCAAAGTCCTGGACAAACACATATCTTCAGAGACCTTTGAAATAGACATAGAGTTTGAATTTGGGAGGTGCTTCATTCAAGAAAAAGAACATGCACTTCCAGGGCCCCTATAAATGGTATTGTTTAATTGATGGGGCCAACCCTATGAGATCAATTTGACCAGGCAGATACTATGTGGGACAGGTGGTACATCATATAAACAGGCCTTATGTCTTCTTGGGCTTTTAAGGTAGTAACCAGCACCTTGAATGGAGAACAATCGGAAAAATAATCCAGGTTTGGATATAAATGTGGACTACATTTCATTAATTTAACCTCAGCTAAATAAAAAAACAAATCAAATGCAACTTCAGTTATGTTCCGGGCTCTGGCTCTGGAGGTTAAATAGTCTGTTACTTGGCAGGAATGACTGTCAACAGTCTTGTTGTTATTCATTAGCTGTAAGACAACAACATAAACAAAACATTAATACTGACTTCTTTATTTAGGGACAGCTGCCTCCCCTCTCATTATGTAATGACCCTTGTCCTCTTGGAAAAAGAAAGAACAAGATCGAAGGGCGGAAATTTTGCTGCTACACTTGTGCTCTGTGTCCAGAAAAGATGATATCCACACAAATGGGTAAGATTCATAGCATCCCAATGGACCCAGGTCTGAAAGCCTGTATCCCAGTTAAAAAAAATCTCCTCAACATTATTACTTGCTGTATTCATGCATCACAAAGGAGGAAAAGGAAGAGACATCAGTGATGTCCTCCACCCCATCTCTCTACCATTGAAGTTGAATCTCATTCAAATAATAGGCACCTCACATAAAGGAACAGTAATCAAGTAGCACAGTTCCTGTTCTCCTATCCTCTAGTGCAAGGGTCCACAACCCATGGGACGTGTCCCACTATTGGGCCACGGCCTAGTCAGAATTGGGCTGCATAAATGGCAAACCAGTGGGTACTTGCATGTGCACAGCTCAACTTGCGCAAGTGGTGGACCAGCAGGCACTCACATGCATGCATGTAGGCCCATCACTTGTGCAGGTCAAGCTGCATACATGTGCATTGCACAATTGCTTCTACAGTCCAGTTCCCCTCTTCCCTCTCGCCAACTGTGCTGCCAAGTCATAAAGGTTGGGGACCGCTGCTCTGTTGTTACTGCAGGTTTTTCAGGATCTAAAGTGTCAAGCATATCCTTTCTCTTTCTTACTAGAAAGTGAGATATGCTGTTCTGTTGCTCAGAAATGCTATAAAACCTAATGCACTCCAAAAAGCCAAGAACATTGAAATGTAGAAAAAAATCGAAATAATGTTTCTCTACAATACTCATTTTTAAAATGTAGGTTGAATACAGAATTACAAAAGGATTTAGGAAACACTTAGATTGCAGGGAAAACCTGAAAAGCAACTCTGAAACTTTTAAAAAGTTTGAGTCTGTTCAGAAACTCTTTCCTTTTTTTTCAGATATGGAGAATTGTGGCAGTTGTTCAGAAGATCAATTTCCAAATCAAGCTCACAATAAGTGCATTCCAAAGAAACTGAATTACCTCTCCTTCAAAGAGCCACTGGGCATTACTCTAGTGTCTCTGGCTCTTTTCCTTTCCTTCTGCACAGGTCTTGTACTTGCAATTTTCATTAAGCAATGGAACACTCCCATTGTCAAAGCCAACAATCGCAACCTCACCTATATTCTACTTATCGCTCTCTTTCTCTGCTTTCTTTGCTCACTTCTGTTCATTGGACAAACCAATAGGGCAACTTGTTTCCTCCAAAAAACAACATTTGGCATCATCTTCTCTATTGCAATCTCTTCTCTACTGGCCAAAACTATCACAGTTGTTGTAGCATTCTTAGCATCAAAGCCAGGAAGCCTATTCCACAAATGGGTGGGGCAAAGGTTGGCCTATTCTATTATCTGCTTCTGCTCATTCATTCAAGTTGGTATTTGTGCCATCTGGCTGAGTACTTCTGCCCCATTTCCAGATTTGGACATGGAGACACTCCTTGAAGAAATCATCGTAGCATGTCATGAAGGCTCCATCACCATGTTTTACTGTGTCTTAGGCTATATGGGCCTCTTGGCTCTTCTCAGCTTCACTGTGGCCTTCCTAGCCAGGAAGTTACCAGACAGTTTCAACGAAGCCAAGTTCATCACTTTCAGCATGTTGGTTTTTTGCAGTGTTTGGTTGACCTTTGTCCCCACCTACCTGAGTACTAAAGGGAAGTACATGGTGGCTGTGGAGATTTTCTCTATCCTGTCTTCTGGTGGTGGTTTACTGGGATGCATTTTCACCCCCAAAATCTATATAATTATATGGAGGCCTGATCTCAACACTAGAGAGCATTTAGTACAAAAGAAATAAAAAAGGAATAAGATGGAATTTTGAACAAGCAAATACTACTTGGATTTTTCTGTTTGTGTGTGTGTATATATATACATACATACCTGACTGAATTTGTCTTCCACCTTAGTATTCTTTGAGGATTGTGTGTTTTTTGCAGGAATAGGGCTATATTAATTTTTCAGCATGCAGTTTTCCATATGGCTTTAGGCTTTTTCATTGGATTTTCTATAGTAGTAACATAATAACTGAGTTAATATCAAGACAGACATTAGAAGGAACACAGAGAACAAAACTCAAGATTCTTTGAAGATTGTTGACTGATTTCCCCACCCTTTAAAAACCACTAATAAGTTGACTTTTGCCAGCAAAGCTGATAATACAGTCATTATGAAACTTTACATCATTCCCAACTAAATTGGGAGAAGCATGGAACCACCTCAGCAATTCTTTTAATGGGCAATTCTTGATGTCATGAAGATTTAAATATACATAAGGAAGTATTTTTTGCCTGAGTGAAAACAAGTATATCCAGATGAAATCCTTGCCTTTTTATGGTTTTTGTCAGGAAGATTAGAAAAGGAGGAGATAGCGTAGTGTGGTGGCCAAATTGGGGCTCAGGTAAAGCTACCAAATCACTTTGAAGATACAACATTATTTTATTTACATGAATGCAAGCAATAATATAGTATATATTCTGGATCCCCAGCAAATCTTTTGATACTTTGCTCAGCACACATAAGCAGAAGCAAACCTGG